CCGGGCAGACATCCCCTTTACAGAGAATGGCGCACTGCGGAGAAGCAGCAGACGCTCACTGCAAACGCTCAGTGTAGAAGCTAAACACCCTTTGGTTTCCCGCACAGCACTCTTCTCCAGCTGACATATGTGTTCGCGTGCATATTCTCTGTCACCTTCAACTTCACCTCAAGATCTTGGAAGACAGAGACCTTTCATTCACAGCTGTATTTCTAGCATTTGGCAATATACAGGTGCCCAACAAAAATACCATGGTATTAACAGCTATGCAGTTACAGCTTCCTTCACTCAAGTCATGGAAGGCCAAATATAAAATGTACAACTTTCAATGCCTGGTGTTACGTGACTTTCATAATACTAGACCAACTCACAGGTAGGACAACTCATTGGAGGAAATGTTATAGTAACCTTAGGGACCATTTCAAATCGGAGAACCTACAAAATAAAGTGTCGTGCCTTAGGTGTCTATTTCCCAGGACACGGGGTATTCTAGAGTAGCAGGGTTAATGCGCAGATCTCACAGCCACATTCCCAGGTCTAAATTCTGGCTTGGCCAGCTGCTGGCTGTACTGCCTCGCATTCCTCTGTATCTCTGGGAATGCTTCTCATGTCTCAACGATGTTCCGGGTTCTGATGTTCTCAGTCACTGTCTGATTTCCCAAAGCTGAATCCCCACGATGCTTCTCTTGTCTGTTGAAATTTGCATAGGCTTTATATGCGCTATATGCAGTAGGAGGCCTTTTTATGTGCTTGTTTATTTATGGCTTGAAGTTTTGGGATGTATAAATTATAGATGATGTATTAAATCTGTTTTCTTGAGCTAGAATACTATAACTCAAAATATGTAACTAAGAATGGTGTACCTTTACTTCAGTGGTCACATATAAGTAGCCTGTTTTCAAAAATTGTGCCCAAATCATATTTTAAAAGCAAGTTGAATAACTCATGTGCATAATCTTCCAGAACTGTACTGCCCAATATTCTGGTCAGAAGCTACATATGGCTATTTAAATTTAATTTGGGAATTCAGTAAAATTTTAAACTCAGTTCTTCAAGGCCACTTGTCACATTTCAAGTGCTACCCAGCCACATGTGCCTCTTGGCTATGACACTGGACAGTGCACATCTAGGTCTTCTCTATCACTGTAGAAAGCTGCACTGAACAGTGTTCTGCAAACTGGAGAAGCTCAAAGTTCAGTTGAGAGTAACCAGCACTCCACATAGCTAATGCAACTTTCTAGGTATATTCCAACTAAGCTTCCCAATATTTTTGCAAAACTCAAAAACTTTCCCCTAAGCTTTCTTCCTTTTGCTCAGCGCCAAGCTTTATCAGTTACCCTACAAATCCATTTTGCTTCTCTGTGAATCAGTGGGCACATCTCTTGGCAGCCAAACCACTTGGGAATCTCCATCTGTTCTAACTGTTCTGAGAATATAACTAATGATGGTGCACATCTCAGACACCCTGAGTAGCATGGGATTTGAGAGTTTGATGGGTCTTTAGAAGCCATATAACGACAATTCCCTTCTCTTCTCCATTATCAAACTTCTTAATAGTCTATATTATTGCCTCCATCAATCTTTCCTTCCCCACTGCCTGTCTCACATTGCTTAGTCACTAGGCAAAGGGAGAGATTTAGGAAACTGATACTTAGAGAGATTTGGTAACTAGATAACTTACCTAGTCAGCGTTGGAGCCAGAATTCAAGTACAGAATTCCAAGTACTCAAGCTTTCATTCTTGCCAATCATTTTGCTGTTGCCCACAGATCACAGGTGACTGACAGATCCTATAAATTGATCTTCAAAGACATCCCTGGCCCCAGCCTCCTTGTGGATAAGACATACACAGTGTTGGGTTAATAAGTACTGGTTTCCAGTGTGGAGACTACTTGGGTGTTTTTAAAACTATAGGAATTCTCTTACGGGTCATTCTAACAGTTACTGTGTCGCTACCAACAAAGGCATTGCTTGAAGTCATTTGTGTGCTAACACATGACGTGGCTCACCATTATTCAGAAACCACTTTGAGCTGCACATATTCAGTTGTGGTGGGAGAAAATTCTCTAACTTTGACAGCCTTTTTGTAAAATTTAAATGTGACTTGTAAAAGTATAATTTTTTTTTTAAAAAAAGGAAACTACCTTCAGATAACAGTTACCTAATGGAGACAGAAGCAAATTGATTCAACATGATTGGGAGTCATAAAAAAGTCAACACTCTCATTTTATTTATTTGCTTTTTCTTGCATTCAGATAAATATCTTTTAGTTTGACGAAGACAAAGAAGAGGAAGCTTGTCCACATCAAATTATCCTTAGAAGAAAATTTGATTTGAAGAACATTAGCAAATTGCAGTTACTCTGAATTATCTTTCAGAGCTTACAAATGTTTTTATTATACTCATTTGGGATGTAACTAGATTTGATTTACAGATTTCTTTCAAGAAATTCTCTGCCATTGTCAAACCAATTCTTAATAACGCTGACCAGCACAACTTTAAGATCTAATGTCAGGATCAGGAAAACGACACAGACACAGAGATCATCAGCAAATGACGTACCCTGAGTCCAGGACCACCAGACCGCAATCTGACCTGAAAATGCACATTCAGGCCCAAGCAGGCTCAGATTACAGCAGACTTGAGAACAGCCAACTACCCTCCAAACCAGTCTTTCACCAGGCCAAATATCTAACATATATGTAAAAAGTTTTATGGGCATGGGTTATTATGGGATATAATATTCTCATCACCCCCCACCCACTTTTCTTCTGAGCCAGCCACTGGGAAACCCAAAATTAGTTCAGAATCAACAGTATTCCTGGGGTAATATAAAAAACTATGGCCCCAAGGGCCAGCTCCAGAGATGCCCTGGAGCTATTTCTAAATGCAAAGCCTTCTCATTATCTTCTCCCAGTCTGTCCTGAGCGCCTTACCTTCCGTATGTCCTGAATCTAAGAGCAGTGAGTCTCCCAGCTGATGGGTGACTCACTGTGTCATTTAAGTTTGTGAGTCAGCAGAAACCAGAGCTCCGAAGTCTCTGTCCAGGACTCTCCCTGGGGAAGTTATTAAGGAGAACGCAGGCTTGCCAGATGTTCCTGTCCAGCTGGCCTAACTGGCAAGTGGAGGGGCATCTGCTTATGCTCAGGGCCTGGCACGAGAAGAGGGCCCTAGATGGGTGCTCAGGAGGCTCTGTCCTAAGTTTTCCTACATCTGCCATGCACAGCAGGCAGGCCAGTCTACTGAGAAAGCCACAGGCACAGCAGTGAGCACCTTCAATCATCAACAAATAAGATATTCAACTTTCCCATCGCAGCTGGGCCTAGGTTCCCTCTTGGGAGCTGAACGTTGTATGGAAGAAAACCTATCACATCTGGGGAGGCCAAACTTGGATTCCTATCCCAACCTGCACCTAAATACGTGAATTTAAATTTTCTAACAATCTTTATGACACTCAGTTTCTTTATCTGTGCAATGAAAAAATACAAAACTGTTCTTGCTCTGCCTTGCCCATGGGTATCACAGAGCATAGGACGCCATTTTGTCAGTCATAAAGAAAACGCCAGGTAATATTCTTTCTTTTCTTTTTTTTTTTTTTTTTGACTGAGTGGACAGTGAGAGAGAGAGAGAGAGAGACAGAGAGAAAGGTCTTCCTTTGCCGTTGGTTCACCCTCCAATGGCCGCCGCGGCCGGCGCGCTGCAGCCAGCGCACTGTGCTGATCCGAAGCCAGGAGCCAGGTGCTTCTCCTGGTCTCCCATGGGGTGCAGGGCCCAAGCACTTGGGCCATCCTCCACTGCACTCCCTGGCCACAGCAGAGAGCTGGCCTGGAAGAGGGGCAACCGGGACAGAATCTGGGGCCCTGACCAAGACTAGAACCTGGGGTGCCGGCGCCGCTAGGCAGAGGATTAGCCTATTGAGCCGTGGTGCCGGCCACCAGGTAATATTTTTTCTATTCTCAAATACTTATTCCCACCCACCACTCCTACCCCGAAGTCAAACTCACAATCCCAACTACCTATTCTGCAGGTCTTCCCAAAAGGGTCATAGGGGTGCTGAGATACTCACTGTGCCCTTTGAGCTGTCAGGTGGTCCCTGGCCCGGCCAGCAAAGAATATAGCAAGTTTGCCCAGCTATGGAAGCCTCCTACAGAGTGTTAAACACTGCTTTATAATAAATGGCATTTCCAGCTACTTACCAATCTGGCTCTCAAACCGAGTTTGTTTGAAAAGGTAATATATGCATTTTTCAACAACCTATTCCTACTGGCCCCCCTCTCTGTCAGTGATGATAACATTTACATATTATATAGGCTTAATGCAAAGAAAAGGTCCTTAACATTTCTCTGTACATCTCCCCATCGGGTTAATCACCACTTTTCTTTCCCTCCTTACATTTTGGTATCCCACAGAACCAGGCTGAGACCCAACTTTAGTTCATATGACCTTAGGGATCTTTCTTCATCAGACTGGCGCTTGGGGTCTCATCTCTGAACTGAATCTATGTTGTTGACAGGTCTGTTATAAGGACTGAACAAGATGGCATTCACCAAATGCATGGTACATGTTAGCTTAGTTCTACCTTCCAGCTAAGCTAAATGCCTCACTGATGTCCAATAATGTCCAGTCTGTCCCATTCCTACCTCCACATCTCCAACCCTGTTTTCAACTTTGCCTGGATCCTCTGTTCCCAACCCCCACTCTGCCCATCAAATCGTATGCATTCTTGATCAACCATCCTTTGAGTACTACCTGCCTTTGGCGTCCAAGGGTGTTGTCTACTTCCTCTGAACTCTAAGTGTTCCTAAGACTTTATTTCACCTCTCACGAGGCTCTTGACATTACTATAGCACACTCTACTTTTGTGTCGGTAACCTCTTCTCTTGAACTTTCATGATCATCTTCTTACACATCCTTTTTACTTAGTAGTTTCTAAATCACCAAAAGGAATGATAACTACTCAATTAACCAATGGCTAGTGCCTGGACCCGGCACAAGGCAGTGGAAAGTGATTCAGTGGCGATGGGATGATTTAACCAAAGAATGAGACACTTCACGTTTTGTGTGCTGATTTTTTAATGAACATCTCAGAATCTTACAAAATAACTGGCTATAGCTGTTTTACGTTACAATACAGTAGATCAGCTCCCTTCACTATGTTTTCAATCACGCTGATGCACTCAATAGTGATCGCACAGAATAGAGGAAGTGCCACGTCCGATGCCTTGCAATGGAGAAAAGGGAAGGAGAGAACCCAGAGCTCTTTACTTGCACTCCTTGTTAGCTCAACCCATGCTCTCTAGTCCTCTCATCTGTGTCTCTCTGGTCATCAGAGTCAGCCAGGCCTGGACAATCTGAGCACCACAGCCCCCGATTACTATGAAACAGAGTGATGTGGACAGAAAAAGACAGAAGGGTCTCTGTGAGAGGGCCTCAGTGACCCCAAGGGGTAAGCGCAGCACCTTGCAGGCCACCACATGGAGTATGAGTTGATAGTTTTGGGGATCTGTGACCATGGTATCTTAGTCTTTTAGCTGATCAGTGAGCTGAATTACTCAGGACAGTAGGCCCAAGGGACAAGGGCTGGGAAAACCTGCCATCTCTGAACGGCTACAGCTGCCTATGGCTGGACAGCCTTCCGCTGGAGAGCTTTTCTCACTCCACTTCTTGTCTTCCCAGGACAACTGTGAATTGCAGATGCTCCCAACAGAGCATCAAATGGTTTCAAACAAAGCACGGCAAGAAATGTTCTCACACTGTCCTCGTGGGGAGACAGACATAGACGCACAGTGGTGTGTTTCAGTCTACCTGAGCTGAATGAGGCCTGGTGTGGCTATTCCTCTGCCTCCATCTCAGACAGTGCAGGAATGCCCAAGGCAGAGCTTGGCAGGCTTCCAGGAATTTGGGTATGTTCCCCACGAAAATAATTTCACAATATGTGCTTTGAATCCTTTAAAACAGCGAAGCCATACATCTCCTCTGTGTTTTCCATCCCGAAGACTGCCAAAATCCCAGAAATAATATTTACTGCCTTCCTGGGACCAGTAAGTTTGACCCCGGACGATGAATGGTATCTAGGTTATACATTTCCTGGCTATATAAGAGGACAAGGATTATTTGGATGGGCAAAATCTGCTTTTCTCTTTCCCCAGTGACATTGCCACCTTCATTCTACATACTCATACAAATATTTGTATACTGCCTTATCTTCTCTTTCATTACACCCCGCAATATTGCTCTTTCCTACATGACTGTGTGAGTAATATTTTGGTAATAGTGAACAATATTTCCTCTTCCTATCTGCAGAGCTATTGCTCCAGGGTTGATGGGAAGAGGAGAAAAACTGTGGTCTAACAAGGAGATGATGTGGAGAGACCACGACTGAGCTCTAAATTTTGCCTGTTCTTGGATTCCATGGGGGAAAAACTTTGAGGGGAACAGGCCCACAGCCCTTCCTAAGATGATAGGACTGGCATGCTGAACAGAGAGGATTCTCACTGTGTTTGTCCAAGGTCGAATCCAGAAGTGTTCAAGAAAATGTAACTGCAAAAAAGCAATGTGCCTGGGATCTAAGTAGAGGCTGGGTTAATGTGGTCATTTGCAGGCACTCCTGTTCACCCACTGAATAAGAAAGGATACAGAAAACAAAATGAACCCTAAATAGTTGAAATTCTTCTTTCTTCCCACAGAGTGTCACCCTTGCTCCACGTGTTTCCATAGTTTGCTCAAATTGAAATCTCTGGGCCACAGATTTTATACATCATGTTTGAATAGAATTTATCTCAGATTCTGCATTGTCCAAAAATCTACTGTAGATTTCCTTGCAGTCTTAGAACAAAGGACTTCGTCTCCTTACTTCATGCATACTTTTGCCCTTGGCCCTGATTTAACTCTGACCTCTCACCTCTTTATGGCCTACATTTAGCTTGTTTTTTCCTTACTTCTCCTCTTACCCCTACACAATTTCTATAACATCCTAACCCCCCCCCCCCATAAAATCAAAAATTGGTGATGTGGCTATCAATGATGGTCAGCCTTGGGAGTCATGGGACCATAAGCCAAGTATGAGAAGTGGGGGAGTCCCTGTGATCCTGGTGATGAGAAAACAATCCTTAATATAAACTTGTTGACTGATGGCCTGGCTGACAGCCCCGCTGGGAATAGGCACATATGGAAAGTGGAGGAAATACTGGGTTATACCAGTTCCAACTCAGAGTTCTGCAAAGTGTAGAGAGTTAATAGAATCATGTTGGATAGATATTCAAGAACTGTATTCTAAATCTGGACTCACCAACAGGTACTCACATTCAAATTTCCATGCCTCTTAGTATTATCAACCTAATTCTCAAACTCTTACAAGTGGCCCAGCTTCCAGTTCATAAAAAGAGGATTAGCTGACAATCTAGCATCCAGAATGTTATCCAATTTCTCTCTGTTTCTTTCTCTCTCTCCTTCTCCACTTTCCACTCAACCTCCTAGTCCTCATTAAGAGAAAGATGGCAGGAGAAATTGTCTTTCTGTCTCCAAAGCTTCGGCATTCAGTTGGACATGAACTTCACAGCAGCATGTGTGGAACAATGGATAATTTTTAGCTTAGTAAACAGCAAAAAATATAATATATAATATATTTATATAATTATGTTTAAATACTTATAAAGAATTAATAACTAACCTCATTATTTTAAGAAAGACTACACCAAAGAAAGGGATAGAGCCAGTTTAGAATCAACAAGCCCTGAAAGATGACAATCCAGAAAGGGGTATTAACAGAGTGTCCCTGGCAACTTCTTTTCTAGCATTTTAGTGTTGGTTTACAAGTTGGGTGGGGCTGAATAGCTGGCAGGGTGCAGAGTGAGGATAGAGCAAGAGTGGAGAATGGGTTTGAGTAGAATATAAATGGGGGAGGAGGGTCCTTGTATATCTACCGTATTTCCTCCTTCCATTTTAAATCTACTGCCACTTTAAAGAAGCTTCTGCCTGTAAGTCTTCCTGTTTGGTCTACTTGATGCACTTGCTGGCACCCACAAGGATTCTCTTGCATTTCTGGAAAGATCCTTACTACTCTGCCACCTTCCTCTGTTTCACAGCCTTTCTTCTTCCTCGACCTCCGTTTGCTCCTGCAGCACCCTCTCTCTCTTACTGCCTCCAGGGCAGTAGAAGAGGGACTTGATCCCACAATTACTGATTTTCTTCTGCCTTGGGGTCTCGGCAGGTGCACTCATCCTGGTCACAGTCAGCAGCAAATGGAATGACCTAGGGGAATGAGAGAGAAGTGGAAAGAACATAATTTCTGTGCCATTGTTTTTCAACCAGCTTTCACTTCTCCCACTTGGTCCATCAGGAAGTGCAAGACTATGTGTTAATATTTCAGATCTGCCATTAACACTCAGTTCTCTTGCTTACACAGCATGTTGCCTTAGGCAGGGTAATCCTTCTTTATAAAGTGGGGAGGACAACAGAAACTACCCCAGAGGGTGTTTGTGTGGTTTAAATTAGATGATGGTCACAAAACACTTACGCATTGCCAGGCACCTGTAACCACCATTACCACCAATTCTAGTGTTTCCACTAACATCTAAAACTACCTCTGCTGTTTGATGTTGTTGTTGCTGCTGTTACCTTTATGAAATCCTTGTAAAATAAGGAGGTGAATGTTAGTTTTTCTCTTCCCAGGACAGGCCCAGAGAGGTTAGGTGATTTAGCTCAGGTAATGACTACTACATGAAAAGCCAAGAATTACAAAGGGCTTTCCAAAAAGTTCAGGCAAAATGCATATTATGAGAAAAACCTATGTAGAATTTTGAATTTTTTTGTACCAGAATAATCTTATCTTTTAATCCCACTTTCTGGTAACTTTTTGAAGCATTCCCACATATACTAGTTCTACAGCTTCTACTCCTCAGTATTCTTGGACAATAGGCTCATCTTCGACATCTTCATAAGCACAAGGTTTTGCCTTTCTTCAGCCAGGACATACTTTGACTTGGCGAGACACTGTATCTCCCCACCAATGTTTGTGACTGGATTGCCTCATTCTGTGAAATTATCCCTCTCCCATGCCAGAGGGTGGTCCTGTAAAAGTTGCTCTCTTTTCTGCTTGCACTGGTATCAACAGATGAGCACCACTCTGAGTGTCTGTAACTATCATTAAAGAGAAACAGGAATTTGAGAGACATGATGTGCAAGGGATACAGATTCTACCTTTTGGGTATTAAAGGTCAAATGAGATAAAAATAAACAAGCACATCACATGTGTTACTAGCCTGAGTACACCACAGAGATGGGCTTGGTTATTGGGCAAGTGGGTTGCAGAATGGGTGGGGTTTTTCCCAGAATATTTGCACAGATAAAATAGTATTTAGAAGTCAACAGAGAAGTGAAGCGCCTTTACCATCCTGATTCTTGTGTATGTTGGCCAAAGGCACCAAAATCCATTAAGCCCCAGTTTTGCAGAAAGTGAGATGGGGAAATGATTGCGTGCTTTCTTCCTAACTCAACTTGCTTTCCTGTGCAGAGAAGGGATCCTTGACCAGTTGCTTTCACAAGTGGGAGAAGAAACCAGCTGGCTCAATTTCTGACCTGCAGTCCAAGCTCTTGATCTGTTTCTTTTAGTTCAGGATTTATTGGGTTTAGAGTGAAATAGTGCCAAATTGAATAGTGATAAGATAAGATAAGTCTCTCAGTGCTCTGTGTTCACTAAGCTAATTCACATAAATGGAGAGAAAAGTGCCTAGCACATAGTAAGCAGTCAATAAATATTAGTAATAAATATTAGTCATTGAGGAGGAAGTACATTCAGGTCTGCACATAGGTTATCATGGTAGAGGTGTTTCTATCATAAAGAGACATACAAGGAAGGAAATAATCCCTTGTACATTCCTGACTCATCAGACTGGCCAACTAGCTTCAGATTTCTTTTGAGTACTGGGATTTTTACCCAGGCTTTAACAGTTTCAACCTATTCAGTTTTGTAGGCTTAGCCTGATCTATCTGCTAATTCAATAGAACCAAGAGTAATAGGGATGAAGGGCATCGTGGAAAGCATTACTGTCCAGAGAATGAGCCAGGTGACTTGTGACGTAGGCCTGTATTTTGCTATCAAGAATTACATCAGTTTATTAATTTAATCGTGAAGATGAACAATAACTGGACAGCACTTCATTGGTAGTCCAGACTCCCAGTGGGGTAAAGATCATTATTTTCCTGTTCTACAGAGAAGTTTCCTGGACTACAATAAGCACACGTGAGTCTTGCAGGAGTAAAAGTAATAGCTTTTATGATGGGATCATGGGTCTCACAATCAGAGGACTAGTGTTTTCTAAGAACTTGTGCTAACTACCACTACTCTTCATCCTGTCACTTTAGAAGCTCCAATGTTTATAAGGTTATAATTCCCTCTTGACTGTTGGATAAAATTCGATTATGATACACAGTGAAGGAGAGTGAGCCCAAGATCCTGTCTTGATTCTCCCCTCTTCCCAGGGGCCCTCACTTACCTTCTTGGAGGAGAGAGTGGAAGAGCAGCAGTCTCCCCCATCATAGTGGCAGTAGGCCCGGTTGTTGATGGTATCACACCAACCATCTGCTTGAAAAGGCTGTAAGTAGGCCTCAGGTTAGTTTCTCAGTCCATATTCTCCAGTGCGAACCCTACTCTCCCACACAACCCCACACCCAACATAATCCATAGAACTGCAGAGTTATAGAGGAGGATACCCCAGGGCTGGCAGGCTAAAGATTGTCCTATAGCCTCAAGATGTTGAAGAATCTGGCTACCGGCACCGTGGCTCACTAGGCTAATCCTCCACCTTGCGGGGACGGCACACCGGGCTCTAGTCCCGGTCAGGGCACCGGATTCTGTCCTGGATGCCCTTCTTCCAGGCCAGCTCTCTGCTGTGGCCAGGGAGTGCAGTGGAGGATGGCCCAAGTGCTTGGGCCCTGCACCCCATGGGAGACCAGGAGAAGCACCTGGCTCCTGGCTTCGGATCAGTGCGGTGTGCCGGCCGTGGTGGCCATTGGAGGGTGAACCATTAGAAGGAAGACCTTTCTCTCTGCCTCTCTCTCTCACTGTCTAACTCTGCCTGTCCAAAAAAAAAAAAAAAAAAAGAATCTGGCAATAAGACCAAAGGGCCAAAAGGATGGTCAAATTTTCCTTGAAGCAGCTGATACTGGCCTACTCTGAGATCAAGGATGAGCCGATTAAACTCCTTGATCAATTTTTTTGTCTTACTGTAATAACAGATCTTTGTATTATACAGATTAGAAAACAGTTTCACACGTTTCTCATCTGTTTATCATCTGAAAAACCTACACCAAGGAAAAGTCTCACTTTATCAATAAGAATGGAAGACTCATCGAGATGATAGGAATCCTCCAGCTCACACAGCTACGACGAGGCAGAGATTGGCATTGATGTCACATATTTTGGCTTTTTGCTGCTTCTCATTTATCACAGACCATAGTCTCTGTCCCTTCTCCTAGTGACAGGTACTTAGAGATCCTAGCAGTCCTTGGGTGCTATGAAGACTCAAATGAGGCCCTTAAGTTGAGGGCACGAGTTGTGTAATAGAAGAACATTCCTACATGTACAGCCACCTGATGCACAGCAGCCAGACACAGGGTTAGAGCAGAGAAAGCTAAACTGTTTCCATCTACTTGCCTATTTCTGCAAGTTAACAGGAACCAAAATGGGTATGGGCCCGTGCCAAACCAGAGTTAATGGAGTGTTTCACCCCAAAAGGGAATGTGTGATAAGAACAGCAACAAGCGGTTAGAAAAGGGCTGTCGCCCAATGCATTATTTCCTCAGAGAAATATATCTGGAGGGAAACACTGATGCCACAGCACCCTGGAGGGCCCATGAACTAGCCCACCTACTCAACGACACTGGCTGGTCTGCATACGGAGCTGATACCCAAATGAAAGCCACAGGAAATCATTCATGGTCAAACTCTTTGCACCATAGAACTGAATTCAGAGGCTACTTGCCAGTTTGCATGATCACATCGTTTTCTCGTCCCCCTCCCTTGAAAAAATGTCAACTAGAAGACTGTTCCCTGCTTTGATGAGATAAATCACTCAACTCAAAAATGGCCATTAAATAATTTTCAGCAATTGAGTTATGTCAGAATGAGCTCATCCAAATTATTACCTCAATGTTTTGATTTATTCTATGGGGTCCTGAGGTCATTTGAACATCATTCCAGATATATACCAGTTTGCCAACCACTGAAAAGCTGCTACTTGTGGGGTGGAAGGCAACAGCTGTCGCCCAGCTGCAGGGTAATGTCAGTTGAGAGCAGGAAGTGAAAATGAATTCTGTTTTCAACACAAGCTTCACTGGGATAAGAGACAGAGATTCCAAGATGAGCATTTGTCTTTAACACTGGAGTCAGTTACTTTGGCAGTAGAGAATGTGGAATAACTGTACAGTCACAATATATTACTATTACAATCAGATAATAAGAGTCATAATGCAATGAGTGCATCCTTAATACCCCTGGACACTCTTGGGTGTTCCCAGGAAGACTCAATGCATCTACTGCCATTCCACAGAGCTTTATTTTCCTTTTTCTAGTGTTTGGAGTAGATCTCGCTCATATAACACTACATCTGTTACTTTTCCTCCAACCCTGACTGACTCATTGGCAAAATGTAATCTGTTCCTTCTTTCTTCTCCATGGAACTGTCTATTAAAAAAAAAACACAAAGAGCACCCCAAATACTTTTCCTACATATTTGAGTCTAAGTACTGTCTTCCTCATGGAGAAATGAAGGTAGATCTAGAGAAATCTTCCTCTTCCCTTCCGTAAGAACAACCTACACACTTGAAGAACCTGGGGAATTCTTTCCAGTCTTCACAAAGGATGGCTATTACTCTCAATAACATTAGAGAATGCATGTTGAAAAAAAGCAGTAATGGCCCAGGTGATGTTCTCTAGGTTTCGCTGGACTTTGCTTATGATGGCCCAGAAAAGATTTCTAGAAGCTCCTTCTCTTCTACTTTTTAAAGGGTCATCTGGGCATTTAGTAAAAGGAGCAGAAATACAGAGAAAAGGTTGTAAAAGCTCAAGTGTTTAATTTACTATACACCTATTAGAATTAATTGCTCCTCCCCCAACCTGCCAAAAACAACCACTCCACCCTCAACAAACAGAGTCTCCTATGGCAACATGTGCCTGGGAAGCTTGATGGTTTGCGTCCAAAGTTACAATGGAAAAAAATAGGAGGGGGAAAATGACTAATTGATCCCAAGTTTAAGAGCTTATGAAGACTGGGTGTAGACTAGGAGGTCTTAATCTAAGTAACTGAAAGATATTAGATGGGGACATCACTTGTGCCTGCAGGAAACTTGCCCAAGCGAAGGTACCAGGCTTGGCTTCTTTACACACTGCACTGAAATTCACTTGAGTGAATTTCACCAACCATACCCCATTTACCCCATGAGGTCAGAAAATGAAGTGTTTCACCCAAGTGCATTTTTCAAATACCTGAAGCTTATCCCTTTGTCACTTTCATTTTCATCATTTTTGATAAAAGAAAATATAAAAATGTCTGTTTCCCTCCCCTTTTAAATAACTATTTATAAAGTACAAAATAATCAACATGACCATTTATTATTTTCACTGCACAGAGAGGCCATCCCTTTTGCTAGATGTGCCTCCTCTAACACACACACACACACACACACACACACCCCTTGGTTAAACTCTTACTATTATACCTAAAGTAAACACCTAGATTAGAGAAAGATCAGGTTGCTCTCCTTATGATGTATGGGCTTTACCATACCAGTTTTAGTTGTTACAGGAAGGCTTTTTCTACAGTTTTTATAGGAAAGTTTTTCTTGCCAGCCTCTTTGTGTGTTATCTGTGCTCCAGGAATATGGAGGTGAATATGAGGTGAATAAATAAATGGCCAAATATAAATGATTGAATGCTGAGAGAAAATGCTGTCCATCTACCTATCTATATCACTTTGGAAACTTCTCAAAATTACATGTAATTTCTTCTTTATGTTTTATAATCCATGATATTTTCTGTTTTGAGATTGCTCTGGGAAGTTGGCGACAGAGATAGTGGCCATTTCTGTTGTTTATGGGTATAGTCATTCATTTAATCACTGATATTCTTTATTCCATTCCTAGATGTGCCAGGTATTGTTATGGAGATAAATCAAGCCTGGTTCCAGTCCTTGAGAAAAAACACTACAAGTAATTTTAGCTCAGCACGAAAGCTGTGTGTTAGCACCAGACGTGGACAGGAGACAAGGGTCTATTGTGGGTGTTGGGAGTGAGGGACTCTGCTTTTTGGGCTGGCTCTGCTACATGTGTCCCCCCAGTGCAGAAGCCCTTTGTGCAGGCCGATTCTGAGTGAAAGAAGAGTCTGAGGGGAAGAAGAGGACAAAATGATGGAGGAGGGAGTCCCAGACTGCCTATCACAGAGCCCACATCAGGGAGAGCTCCATACACTTTGAAAGATCGGCTAATGCCTCCTTACTTCAATCAGACTGAGAACATTTTTATTCTGCATTCTGCAACAGAACTCAAGAAAATACTAGTATTTCAGGAGGTAGTTTGGACTTCTTACCATCAGATCTGCTATCCTATATACTGGAATCTCATCACAAGTGGCTATATCCCTATATGTAAGGTGTGGGGAAGAGTCCTGCTTTATTTTTTCAAATAATGTTTTAGACCAGAAGATGCTTATCACATTTTTGCCTGATACAAATACTATTTTCTCTTTCCCTCATCATTTCTGAACAAACTTTCTAGTAATATGAACGGCAGCCAAACCCATGGCCATTTCTTCACATTGATTAGGCTTCACCAGCCTCCATGGTGGCCCTGTCTCAGAATAGCTGTGGTGCAGCACCCTAGGGAGTCCCTGAAACAGAGGCAAACAGTGTGAATGTACAAATCTGTGCACTGACTGCCTCTTTTTCTCTGACTTTTCAATGAATGGTGTGAGCTCTGGCCTGGTGGTCATTCTCCTCATTCCATGAATCTGCTGGCTTCATACCCAAAGACTGCAAAGAACATAAAAAGTGGAGCCTACTGCAAGACCTCTCTTAGGATCTCAGGGTGGAATTAGGGGGGTCTTTGAGATCCTTGAAGGAACCCTAATCACAAGAACACTAGATGGAGTCTTTAAAACGTTCATGAAAAATGCATGGTATGAGAAAACAGTGTACCAATTTTAGTTTTTTTTGCACAAAAATAAATTTACCTTTTGATTATATTTTGTGTGAACTTTAAAAAATGCCTATGTATTAGATATGTGTATGTATATATTATATACACACACAAAGGTATAGACTATATATATACATACATATATAGAGCATATATACACACACACACGCGCACACACACACACATGCATACACATAGAGTCTGTGTATGTTTGTGTTCTTACCCACTGTTTAACTCCCCACATGCCCATGATGGCTGAGGTTAGGTCCAGCCCAAAGCCAGGAGCTGGGAACTCCATGTAGGTCCTCTACATGGTTATCAGAACCCAACCACCTAAGTCAACTTCTAACGCCTTCCAGAATCTGCATCAGCAGGAATCCAGAGTTAGGAGCTGGAACTGTGC